AAGACAACTATCTGGCCGACTGATTGGAAGAGATCCATATTTGTGCCCATTCCAAAGAGAGGTGACCCAACAGAATGCGGAAATCATCGGAAAATATCTGATATCTCAAGCGAGTAAATTTTTGCTAAAGGTAATACAGAAATGGCTACAATGATACATTGACAGAGAACTTCCTGAGGTTCAAGCTGGATTCAGAAGAGGCCGTAGAATGAGAGATATCATTGCTGATGTCCGATGGATCTTGGCTGAAAGCAGAGAATATCGGAAAGATGTTTACCTATGCTTTATTGACTATGCAAAGACTTTTGATTGTGTGGATCATGATAAGCTATGGACAACATTGCGAAGTATGAGAGTATTCCAGAACACTTAATTGTACTTCTGAGAAATGTGTACCTGGACCAAGAAGCAGTTGTTCGAACAGAGCATGGGAACACTGAATGTTTTAAATTGGGAAAGGTGTACGACAAGGTTGTGTTCTTTCACCATACTCATTCAACCTGTATGCTGAGCAAATAATAGGAGAAGCTGGGTTCTTCAAAGAAAATCATGACATCAGGATTGGAGGAAGACTCATTAACAACCTGCGATATGCAGATGATACAACCTTGCTTGGTGAAAGTGAAGAGGACTTGAAACATTTACTGATGAAGATCAAAGAGCACAGCCTTCGGTATGGATTACATCTCAATGTCAAGAAAACAAAAATGCTCACGACTGGACCGATAAACAACATTCTTATCAACGGAGAGAAGATTGAAGTTGTCAAGGACTTCATTTTTCTTGGGTCACCTATCAACACTCATGGAAACAGCAGTCAAGAGATCAGAAGATGTATTGCATTAGGAAATTCGGCTGCATAGGAACTCTTTAAAGTGTTGAAGAGCAAAGATGTTAGCTTGAGGACTAAGGTACGCCTGACCCAAGCCATGGTATTTTCAATAGCCTCATATGGATGCGAAAGCTGGACAGTGAATAAGGAAGACCATAGAAGAATTGATGCCTATGAATTGTGGTGTTGGAGGAGAATACTAATAGTGCCATGGACTGCCAAAAGAACCAATAGATCTGTTTTGGAAGAAGTGCAGCCAGAGTGCTCCTTAGAGGCCAAGATGGCCAAACTTCGTCTCTCATACTTTGGACATATTATTAGGAGGGAACAGTCACTGGAGAAGGATATCATGCTTGGTAAGATGGAGGGTCAGAGAAAAACAGGAAGACCCCCAACGAGATGGATTGGCCAGGTGGCAAACATTGATGGACTCAAGTGTGGCAGCGGTAGTGAGGTTGGCTCAGAATTGGACATTGTCTCATTCTGCTGTGCGTGGGGGCGCTATGAGTCAGTTCCAACCCGATGGCACCTTACAACAACAACAACAACATTTCTTTATATAACTTTCAATATCCAGGAATAGATACAAATATGTTTGTGACTATGTCAGAGTACACACATACCTGCATAAGCACAGAGAAACTTACATGCATATTCCCTTTGAGGTTTACTGCAAATTATCAGTTTAATGCTGTCCTTACACAGTGAAGTAGCCAGGGAGTGTCAAACTGTACTCTTGCCTCAACTACAGGATTTGATTATACGCAGCAGAAAGTGCCAAGTCTTTAGAGTCTAGTTGGTAGTTCTTTTGTTTGAGAACTAAATAAATTACTTTAGATTGTCCCTTCAGAAACCATACCTTCCATAAATAATTAGATAAGGAAATTTAAAAGAAGCTTTATTTGAAATAAAGTGTACCAAAGTTTTGTTTGTACATTGCACAATAACAATTTATTGCATTGCAGCATTTTTTCCTGAAAACAAAATGACTTCAAAAAAGGTCTCTTCATAATTTTAAATCAGGAAATACAAGAAGTTTTCATTACACTATGTGAAGCTGTTCTGATATCCAGGTGTAGTGAGTTAGCTTTTTGGTGCACATGCAAAACCAGGTTTTACATACTTTGTTGTTAAGTGTCGTCGAGTCAGTTCTGACTCATACCAACCCTATACAAGTTTTTCAACGTACGGTTGGTGAGTTTGAACTACTGATCTTGTGGTTGGAACTGACCTTGTGGTCCAGTGCTTTATCCCACAGCTCCACAAACTCAGTAAACATTCATGATTCAAACTATTTAAATTGCTGTGCCATTAAAATATGTAAATAGATTACATTTAAAAAATATTTCATTGAAATTTGCATGAAAGTTTACACAGCATTGTTTCGTGATATTGGTTACAATTTCCAAGATCTTCCCCATCTCCATTCATCCAGTTTCTTTGCCTGTCCTTGTCTTAGCAGCTTTGCTTTTGTTTATATGGCAACTATATATATTTTGTTTGGTCTTGTACAGTTGATTGATTAAAGGAGTACATTCCTTATGGGCATTATTATTTATTTTATAGGACAATCTATTATTTGGCTGGTAGGTTACCTCCAGGAGATGCTTCAGTTCCAGCTCAAAAGGATATCTTAGGACAATACTATAAAGAGTTTTCATAGTCTCTATAAGTCCAGATAGTCCACTATTTTTAGGAATTTGAGTTTTGTTCTCGATTTTTCTCCCATTTGAAATGGGACCTTCCATTGTGTCTCTGGTTGGAACAGTTGACAAACCATCTAGTTTTTCTGGTCTCAGGCTAGAAGAGGCCTTGGCTTGTGTGGACCATTAGTTCTATGGACTAATTTCTTCCTAGAGTTTTGGCTTTCTTCACTCTCCTTTACTCCAGATGGAAAGAGACCAGTGGTTATATCTTAGTGTGTCATTAAATTTGAAGGAATTTTATTTAATTTTTTAACTACCTTGGTGGGTGTATGAAAAAAGAAAGTTTCTTCTCTTTCCAAGTAATTTTATTGAAATTAAGCTAGGAGTTTTACTTATTTCTTGGTAAAGTGTCTTCCCTTTTTCTCTTACTAACTTTCAATTTATTGCTTGGATTGAACTTCTGGAAATCTCTAAATTTCCATTTGAGGTAGAAAATCATTCCAAAATGATAAATTCCTTAGTTCTTAAAGTATCTATTATATAATTGTTAAAAAGTACTCTGTACTTGTAAAGTACCTGAGAAGATTGTGTGCATGTATTCTTCAGCTTCTCTATGGAGGAGATATATGCTCTCCTACATAGAGAAAGGATATTTGTAATAAAGTACACCATGGAAATGATAAGTTTAAGGGGTGAGCTATTTTAGCTTTGAAGTTAAATGCCTGAAATTAATTGTCTAGTCCTATGAGAACAGGCTGTATATATTATTATAGTTCTTACAAAATAATTAATATTCTATATGACTGTGCAATGATTTAACATATTTAATTTTAGGATGCATACAACCTGTAAAATAGTGATTAACCCAAAATTTCAAATAAATAGTTTCTGGCCTCACACTCCTTTTTCTGTCTGGAACAATATACTACCACTTCTTCCTTGGCAAGTTTTTACCCTTCCCTCAGTTCTCAACTTTAATGAGAATTCCTCACAGAAGATTGCTAACCCTTCCTACTTGTTCAGGTTCCTCTATTACTCACCCTCTTTAACAAATTTGTTATGTGTAAAAATATACATGACAAAATTCACCACTTAAACCATTTTTAATTGTACAGTTTAGTAGCATTAAGTATATTTACAGTGTTGGTGGTTCTGTGCCGTGGACTCAGTTCCGACTTATAGTGACCCTGTATAGGATTTCCGAGGCTGTAAATCTTTATTGGAATATCAAGTGTCATCTTTCTTTTTTGAAGCAACTGGTAGATTTGAACTGCTGACCTCGTGGTTATCAGCCCAGCTGGTACTCCACTATGTTACCAGAACTCCTATTCACAATGTTATACAACTCTTACTGTCTACTTAAGTACATATGGTATACTGCTTTTCTCACTTTGAGCACTCATCACAACTATAATAAAAGTTAATTCTGCAATAAATTTAATATATTTCTTCTGTTCATAACCCAATGTTGATTGCTGTTGAGTCGATTCTGACTCATAGCCATTCTCCAGGACCGGACAGAGTGGCCCTATAGTGTTTCCAAGCCTATGATCTTTATAGGAGCAGATTGCCATATCTTTCTCCTATAAGATAGCTGGTGGGTTAAAACTGCAGACCCTTCAGGTAGCAACTGAACACTTAACTGAGCAACACCAGGGCTGCTTCCCCTGTATGTAGCCACAGTAATATGCAGTATTAACTCTTAAGAAAATTTCTTTGAGAAACTAAAAGATCCTTAGTATTTGAGAAAAATTAAATGGCAGTAATTAAAACACAATTGTGTAACAGGTTTCTAAAACAGGACACTTCAGTCTTTGTTTCTGCTGAAAACATAAAAGCTTTGGAATTTTAGACAGACACACCTTTTAAACAGACTTTACTACAGAGGTGCATTTATTGTGCTAGATCCCAGTTCGTTGGGAAATCCAGTCACGGTAGGTTGTCACTCGAGTGTATACTCCTGGTTTATCTGGAAGGCCACATTGATAACCCCAGCTTACTATCCCCACAAGAAACCAAAGCCGCCGTGAGTCTTCTTGTACTAGTGGACCACCGGAGTCACCCTGAAGAAAACAGAATGTTTGATTTCTCAGTCTAAAGACAATGCCAACATATATCAGAGTGTTTTTGTATGGTAGCAAAGGAAGACTTTATATTCACTATAACAATAAACAATGTCAGCCTGACATTTCCTATTGATATATACCAAGTTATACAAAAATTACTGGAATTACCTGAGTATAGAAGTCATTCCTTCACAAGTCTGAGAAAAAAAATGGGAAGCACATTTCCTAGACATCCTTTATTTGACTGCCTCTTTAACTCCTCCTCATTCCAGGATTCACCGTCTCCAGGAGGCCATTGTTCCTTTGCTACTCATTCCCCTCCCTTCCAGTTTTGGGCTGGATTGATTTTACATTGCCTTTGTTCCCAAATATTGTTTGTATCATTTATAAAAACACATCTCTGTGCACATTTGAACTTACTAACAATAGGTTAGCCCTCTTTGTTACAACAGTTACATATTTCTGTGACACTATGTACATCTGTAGTTTTCTCTGTTAGACTGAAAGCTCCTTTGGAGGTAGGGGGCATAGGTATTCTGTACATTGCTGTATTCTAAGTTTCTAGTCTACAGGATATCACAAATAAATATTTGTCGAATGATTATATTTCTAGAAGTCTCACTTACCTTCATATCTACAATAACTTGCATAATGTCAGATGCATAATATATCCTCAAAAAGTCTTCTTTTAATGAATAATTAAAAATAAATTTATGTGGTGGTGAGTAAAACACTCCTTATGAAATACTTAAGAGCCAATTATAGTAATAAGCCAATTAACCAAAAATATTTGTGCATGTAATATGCTAATCAGGTAGACGAATCTTATATCCTGCAAGGTGAGCTATCTTTGGGTTCTAAAGTTAGATAGCCTTAGTTTGAATATTGACTCCTTCATTTACTAGACTTTGGGCAAGCAATTTGATAGCTTCCTCATTTGTAAATAATATCTTTATGAGTTTAAGTGACTTAACTTTAAAAAATACTTTGAGCAAACCTGGCATATAGTCAGGTCTAATAAAAGCCAGTTATTATTATTACTAAGTGTGCCTCTGTAATTGTTTGGCATTCATTTGGCTGCTTTATTAGCTAGTTCTTCCCATGCCTATTTAATTACTGGTCTAGATGGGGAGAAGCGTATGTAGGTGAATCACTAGCTTGCATAGCAAGCACTGGATGAAGAACCTGTTTCCTTTACATGGTCCATATGTGCTCTAGTTAACCATTCTCAGTACCTTCCCATCAGTGTGCTTTGTAGCTTTTTCTTTTAAAGCAAGGGATTTCTCTATATGATGTCTTTTTGAGAGTGGACAAGCAAATGTTAAACTTTGAAGGTCAAATAATTTTTCCTGTCAGGATCACTGCCTATCTGCATGCACTTGAGCTTTGACCTTTCTTTTAGACCGTAATCTTATTGAGTGAGTGAATACTCATTGTTTGCTAGCATAGTGCCAGACACACAAAAAGGAGTGAATGTATTTTAATTGAATGAATAAAAAAACTAATGAAAGGAAATGAATAGGATCACATATTTGTGATGAATTATAACTGAACTGGGCTTGAAAGAAAAATAGAATTTGTATGCATAGCAAATAAGGGAAATGTTGGTGGTTTGACTCCACCAGCTACTCTGTGGGAGAAAGATGTGGCAGTTGGCTTCTGTAAAGATTTGTAAAGATTGCAGCTTTGGAAACCCAACTGAGGTTGTTCTACTCTGTTCTTATGGGTCATGATGAGTGGGAATCAACTCAATAGCAACAAGTTTTGTTTTATTTGGGTTTGGGATTGTTTTTCAGAAATATGAACAAAACCTATTGGAAGGGCTAACTGCATCAGTTCAGTTCAGATAATTAGATTCAATTTTCAATAGTAAAAACTTTATTCTAATTACTATAGAGTAAAAATTTCATAATTATTGTTTGTTTGAAAAACTACAATTATTTATTCAAAATTTTCTTTTTTGCTTTTTCACAACTGTGGGAGCTGTTGTGACTCACATAATCAGAATTTTTATATGAATTTTCTACCATCAAGGTGCTAACATATACCATTTTTAACATATACCATAACATATTTATATTTAAAAAGTATCTGAATTTTAAATGAATCACTAATTTTTTATTTAAACCTTCATAGTTGTTAAAAGCTTGAACTTAAAGTAATTAATACCAGTAATCATGGTCTTAGGTTAACAACAATCAAAAGAGCTGAGATTTCTTTGTTGCTTATGTAGACATGCCTTGCATATTTAACTTTCATTTAATATTTAATACATGTAATACCTAAAAGGTTAGGTACTATTATTATCTCCCAGAAAATTGGTTACAGAGGTTAAGGAATTTAAGTTCAGGTCGTAGTGGTTACAAATCGGACTGTGAACTTTAAGGTAAGCAGTTCAAAACTACCAGCCATTCCATAGGAGAAAAGTGAAGCTTTCTGCTTCCATAAAGGTTTACAGCCTCGGAAACCCGGTACAGGGTCGCTATGAATCAAAAACGACTTCACGGCACATAACCACCACCTCTAAATCTTTAGTTTGTATGCTTAGTCACTTTGCAAGTCTATTTGTCACAATTAATTTTCATGATGTTGTTGTTGTTGAGTGCTGTTGAGTTGGTTCTGACCCACAGTGACTCTGTATGGAGCTTCCTAGTAGCGACTGGTGAACTAGAACCATCTGCATTGAAGTTCAAACTGACTATACGGTCCAGCACATTAACCCACAGCACCATACTCTTAAATAAGAATTTTATCTACCAAAACTAGAAATAGGGCTACATATAACTGAGTTACCTTTATGTCTGTGATATGCTTATACTAGTAAGTGCTTAGCAACTTCTTGGATGTTGACATTAATATTTATCTTGAACTTACCTGGCATGCATCTATTCCACCATTAGGAACACCAGCACATAGCATTCCAGATGAAATAGCTCCATTATAACTAGTTGGTGCGTTGCATACATCATTCCTTATTATTTTAACCTTTGCTTGCTCTAGATCTACAACAGTGTTGCCTGTAAGGTATAAAATCAGAAAGGAAATGGCCATCAAGATATGTAAATCAGTGACTCTATGGTGAATATTATTGTTGTCAAGTGCTGTCATGTACAGGGTTTCTGAGAAGCAGCTGGTGGGTTAGCACTGCTGACCTTGTGATGCACATTCTAGTGCTGATCCTACAGCACCACACCAGGAATGGTGAATATAGGAAAGAATAGATGTACTCCAAATTATTCCCTGCTCAGTAAGGAAAACTATTGATTATGTTCTTAGGAGTTTTGTCCCAGCAAAGGTTCCCATAATAGAGAAGAATAGTGCCTTTATATAGATTAGTTTTTCTCTTTTTGCTATAGTTTTCTGATTCAGGGTTGTATCATTTGCATATTGCAGGTTATTAATCAGTCTTCCTCCAATCCTGATGCCACATTCTTCTTCATAGAATCCAGCTTGTTGGATTACTTATTCAGCATACAAATTGAATAAGTATGGTTAAAGAATACAACCCTGGCCGCCCGCCTTTCCTAATTTTGAAGCATTCAGTATTCCCTTGTTCTGTTCTAACAACTGTCTCTTGGTCTATGTACAAGGTCCTCATGAGCTCAGTTAAGCACTCTGGAATACCCATTCTTTGTAATGTTATCCATTGTTTGTCATGATCCACACAGTTCAAAGAGTTTGCATAGTTAATAAAGCACAGGTAAGCATCTTTTTGGTGTTTTCTAGTTCTTTTCAAATTTTCATTTCATTCAGTCAAAAAAGAAGCATAATACATGCATTTTATGCACACATGGAATTCCTTGCCCTAGTTCTTTTTAGGTGCTTTTCAGCTGGCTCCAACTCACAGTAACCTTATAGATAACAGAACAGTATTTTGCTGGATCCTTCACCTTCTTCATGATCATTGCTATGTCTGAGTCGATTGCTTTTGCTATTGTGTTCGTCCATCTCATAATCCTAGAGGCAGGACTTATTTCATTCCAGAATACTTTAATGCTGCAAATGGCCTTGACAGATATCTATCCAAATCCTTATTATTATTATTATTATTAGGGGAAACATTTGAGTGTTACAGAGTCTCTGGCTATATACCTGTGGCCATTAAAAACTATTCAAATCATTTCTCTTACACTTCCTTTGACTATGTTTGAGAAATCCTAATGGTTTCTAGGGGGGCATTTCTTAGCCTTGCTGAGGAACTCAGGGTAACCAGAATTTAGGCAGACCAGAATATAGGATAGTTGTATCCATAGAAACTTGTCCAGATGTTGCCTCATTTAGAAATGTGTTTAATAGAAAATAATGCAGTGTTTGTTGTTATTTTGTTTTTCTTCAGATACTTACCACCATATTTTCGAGATCCCCATCCTGTTACGTAAGCAGTAGAACCAGGTAAAATGTTCTGGGTAGGTGCTGGGAGACACACCCTATGGATGTTTTTGGTAAAGGTGACTCCTGTGCTTAGTTGAACAAGTGCAATATCATTTTCATGCGTTTCAGGTTTATAATTGCTATGGACTAAAATAGTCCTTACGCGCACTCTTAGTTTAGGAAATGTTGTAGAAATACCAAAGGTGACAGTCCATAGATTAGGATCTGAGTAGCTAAAATAAATAAATAAATAAATAAATAAATAAATAAATAAATAAATAAATAAATAAATAAATAAATAAGAAAACATGTTATTTAAATAAAGAATTTCTGAACATTTCAAACATTTAGATTTCATGTTTGCCACTCTCCCTACTCCCCAATCTAGGAACTATTTGATTGACATCTCTTTTTTATATGTTCCTGAATTACAAGCTAATATGTATGTAACATTTTTATGGCTCTGTAGGAGAAGCACTGGACCACAAGGTGGGTTTGAACAGTTCAAACTCACCAGCTGCTTCTAGGAAACTCTATACAGGATGGCTATGAGTCAAAACTGACTCAATGGCAATTAACAACAACAATATGTCTGTAAGACTATTATGGCAGAAAGAGTAATCATTTGTCCAAAGAAAAAATTTAGGAAACATGATTTTGATGAGGAACTTCTTGATGCTAATCTTATTGCAATGAGGATTTTCTGCCACTTTGACAACCGCTAGGATGGCTTGGCACTGTAGTATACTCACTGGACTGATAACTGTAAGGTTGGTGGTTCAAACCCACCAGCTGCTCCTAAGAAACCCTATTCAGGGTCACTATGTGCTGGGACTGACTTGATGACACTTAACAACAACAAACATTGGACAAGATTAATCTTTGACTTTTCCTTTTCTTAAGGAGTCCTGGTGTGGCACTGTAGGATAAGAACTGGACCACAAGGTTGGGGTTCAAACTCACTGCTGCTCCTCAGAAATCCTATACAGGGTTCCTGTGAGTCTGAATTGACTTGACAGCACTTGAAAACAACAATGACAAATTCTTATCCAAGTAATTAACAAGTCTGAAGTAATGACAATTTTAATTTTGACTTATTGCTTCCAATCATTATTTTTTTCCCCTTACTTTAACCAGAAGCTCTATTTAAATAGTTGTAATGATAAGGAGTCCTGGTGTGGCACTGTGGGTTAATGCACCAGACTGCAAACCTGTTTGAACTATAAGGTTGGTGGTTCGAGCTCACCAGCTGCTCCTCAAAAACCCTATACAGGGTCGCTATGGGTTGGAACTGACTCCACAGCATTTAACAGCACAACAACAATGATAAGGAGTCTGGGTGTGGCACTGTGGTTTAATGCATTGGAATGCAAAGTTGGTTTGAACCTCAGCGTTGGCGGCTCAAGCTCACCAGCTGCTTCTTGGAAACCGTATACAACATCGTAGTGGGTCAGAACCTACTTGAAAGTACTTAACAACAACAACAGCAATGAGAAGGAACATCTTTGTCTTATTAATTGATGAATGATTTTTCTGTAGTAAGTGTGACACATGGTGACATACATACATAAGAAAGTAAGTGAAAATGTGTTGCTACAGGAGTTTTAGTTCACACATGCATTAGTTTATACCAAATGAAATGTGTTTAAACATGTCTTTGTGATCAGTGGCTGGCTTCAGACAAATTATGTCAGAAATACACTTGTCTTAGTTAGGGTGTCTTCCAAAAAGAGGTTCAATCAAAACAATGATTTCTGAAGAAGTCTGCTGAGTCAGTTAAATTCTAGGCAAAGAGAGGTCAGCTCAGAAGGCTATGGTGACTCTTTTTTCAGACTCCACAGTGGTAATATGGACACAGCACAATTATGAGGGCTTATTATGAAGAAGTTTTAGAAAAATTGAAAACCGGATTGGTGAGAAAATGTCCAGGAAAGTTCCACCAAAGAATTTTTCTTTTTCATCACAAGAATATACATGCTTGCTTTTCAAGGGGATTGAGGCCTGTCCTATGAGACTTTTATTGGTAAACCTTAATAATCTTGCTCCTTCAGACTTACATATGTTTTCTAAACTCAAGGGACATGATTTTAGTTGCTTGAGGATGCCCAAACTGCTGTTTTGACATTGTGTAAATCAAAGAGTGCAAAAATTGTCAGGTGAGAGTTGGAAAGATGAAAACACCACCTTTAGAAGTGTATAGACCTAGATGAAGGATATGGCAAGAAATGGGAGCTTCACATTTTGATATTTATATGTGTTTATATATTAGAGCAGAGATGTCAGCTTGAAGACTAAGGTGTGCCTGACCCTGGCCATTGTGTTTTCAATAGCCTCATATGGATGCGAAAGCTGGACAGTGAATAAGGAAGATCATAGAAGAATTGATGCCTTTGAGTTGTGGTGTTGGAGGAGAATACTGAAAGTGCCATGGACTGCCAAAAGAACCAATAGATCGTTTTGGAAGAAGTGCAACCAGAGTGCTCCTTGGAGGCCAGGATGGCTAAGCTTCGTCTCTCCTACTTTGTACATATTGTCCGGAGGAAACAATCGTTGGAGAAGGATGTCATGCTGGGTAAGGTGGAGGGTCAGAGAAAAAGAGGAAGACCCCCAACGAGATGGATCAGCCAGGTGACATCATTGATGGCGTCAAGTGTGGTGGCGGTAGTGAGGTTGGCCCAGGATCGGACATTGTTTTGTTCTGCTGTGCATGGGTCGCTATGAGTCGGTTCTGACTCGATGGCACCTGACAACATATTTTAATATTTATGTGTGCAAATGTTGTTGTTGTTAAGTGCTATCATGTCAGTTCTGACTCATAGCGGCTCTGTGTACAGAGCCGAGGGTTTCTGAGGCTTTAAATTTTTGCAGGAGCAGAAAGCCTCATTTTTATGTCACAGAGTGGCTGGTGGGCTGGAACCATGAACCTTGTGGTTCACAGGCCACTGTTTATTGATAAATATCAAAATGTGAAGCTACTGTTTCTTGACGCTATATAGCCTTCACTAGGACTATACACTTCTGAAGTTTTATATATACATATATTCCAGGTATGGTGGATTATATATATATATATGATGTATATACATCAACATTGTTGTATATATCATTTGCACATATATACATGATATATACATCCATCAAGTCAATTCAGACTCTTGGTGGTGCTGTGTTGTGGAGTCAGTTCCGAGTCATAGAGATCCTGCATAGGGTTTCTGAGGCTGTAAATCTTTAAGGAGCAGAAAGCCTCATTTTTCTTCCATGGAACAGCTGATTGTTTTGAATTTCTAACTGTGAGGTTAGCAGCCTGACTCATAGCCACTACACTACCAGAGCTATATACGTTTTTTGAGTTTTAAATTTTTACCAGAACAGAAAACCTCATATTTCTTCCATGGAGAGGCTGGTAGGATTGAACTTCTGACCTTAAGGTTAGGTCCAGTGCTTATCCTACAATGTCACAGAGTTCCTTCTATGTATATATGTATATATAATACGTCCTGGTGTGGCGCCATATGATAAGCACTCGAACTCAAGTTTGGTTGAAACCACAAGGTTGGCAGTTCAAACTCACCCGCTGCCCCACGGAACTCTAT